AGGATTGTTTATTGTAATGGAATTTGTATTTGCCTTTGAATGTTAAGTTTTATACTTGAACTTTTTGGCAATGTTGAGAGGTTTTATGCCTTCATATGTTTTCAGTCTGTTAAAGATAGTATTATCAATAGCAGTACAATTTGCACAATGCCTGTTTTGTTTAGTTTTCTTCTTGGAAAAAGTTATTAAAAACAAGTTTTTGTCTAAATTAAGGTGAATTCATGGTTCCTTTTCCCACATAATGTAACCGGTAGGGTTTATGATAAAAAAATAAATAAATAATTATGTGATCGGTATCGGCGATCGGCCCTCATAGGTGATCGGTAACCGTAGGAAAAAACCTGATCGGCACATCTCTAATTTATAGCACTAACATTTTCAACTTGGTGTCATTTAGAGTTCTAGTTTAAAGCAAAATGTCTGTGAAGTTACCATAACCTCCAGCTTGAATGGGAGTTTTAGGGGAGGCGCAGGAGTACAGGCTGAAGTCTTCTGTCTGAAAGCCTGCTCGATTTAAGGAAGGTTCAGAGGCGCTGCGGTGGATTTTGGGTAATGAACGAGCCAGCAGTTCAATGGATGCCAAAATCTAAGAGATGGATGTAGGAACAGCTGTCAGAATCACCATCGACTATTCATCATACTTAATATTCAGTCGATCGCATGGCAACACAGAGACATGCAGGACAAACAAACATACACACACAGAGACACACACCTAAGGGCAATTTAGAGAGACCAATTAGCCAAATATTTTTGGAGAGTGGGAGGGAGCTGGAATACCTGGAGAGAACCCACACATGCACAGGGAAAACATGCTACATAGCTCCAGGATTTCAACCACAAATTTTGTTTCTGCAAGGCAACAGTGCTACCTACTGTGCAAAATGTAAAACATGAAAAAATAAAATATTAATAGATACTAATAATGAATGAACGTAGCACCCACCTGGGGGAAGAGGGGTCGCTCTTCTCTCTTTTTCTTCAAGCAATCTGCCATCAGTCTCTTCATGGCCTTAGGACAGTTGCTGCGGACCTTGCTCAGGTCTGGAGAAAGGTAACCTCGACCCACCATGAAGATAATCTCCAGGAAAGAAAGGTCAGAATAATGTTAACAAGTAAAAAGTTGGGATGCACTGACTGCAGTGATTCTAATTGATCACCAAATGTTTAAAAAACCTAACTTGCCGATTCCAATTTTAGTCAATACCAAGGATTTTTACTGTTATAGCATTTCTCAATTATTTGTTGTGGTACAAACTTCAAACTCAGGTCTCAGATCGAGAAGTCTAATAAATAATTGATGGAGTACTCTATGCTATATATGTGTGTTAAAAAAAAAGTAACATCTAGTTGAATTAAGTGCAGCTTGAGTTCAACAGTCTGACAGCTGCAGGGAAGAAACGTTTCTCAGCCTGCTGGTTGTTGGAGTTAATTGATTTTTGTCTCTGTGCTCCACCAGGTCTGCTAACCAGTTTCAGGACCCGACCAGAACCCCTCAGTGTAAATTACCTTGAGAAATAATGAGATTTGGTTATATAAAAACAGGCTTTAATGCCGAAAATTGATCAAATGTTACAAGTCATACAAATGGAACAGATACAGATTCACCATCCAGCGCCGGGCCACACTTAGCTCACCTTATGGATGAAACCAAGTGAGGCAAAGATTGTAGCACGAGTTTAGCTTTTTATTCGTCTCTGCAATCTGTACCCTCCCTAAAGGGTAGTCTTATCAGTTTCAGTCTGTTTACATATGATTGTCGGCAGTCACACATAAACATGGTTATGTGTGTGACATGGTTATGTAAGCTGCAGTGTGTGCGTGTAAACAGTTAAACGAGGCTAAAAGAGATAGAGGAAAAGACAGAATCTACAACATGGTCTTGCTCTGAATGCTCCTCAGCCTCCTGCCTGAGGAAAGGGGTTGAAATAGACCAGGGGTGCCCAAAGTGGGTCCTCGAGGACCGGCATCCTGCATGTGTTAGTTCTGGTGGTAGTAACAACCTTTTCAGCATGTCATTGTTCTCCTTAGGTCTCTAATGAGCCATTATTTGATCCAGGTGAGTTAAACCAGGGAGAGAATTAAAACATGCAGGATGCCGGGCCTCCAGGACCAACTCTGGACACCCCTGAAACAGACTGTGTGCAGGATGGGTGGAGTCCTTCATGATGTGGAGCGCCCTCCCTCTGCATCATGATGTGTAGAGGACCATGGGGGAGGGAAGGCTGCTCTCCACAGACCTCTGTGCAGCCTTGAGGCCTTTGTCTGTGTATGTGTTGTGTCTTATGAAATGGACCACAGAATCCTGAGCACCAACAATCAAATCATTTTGGCTTGACCAAGACCGAATTTTGGGTCAGGTTACAGATCTAAATTCTAACAAAAAATATGTCTTTTAATGAGTAATTTGACAAAGCATTTGAAGACTACACAATATGTATTGCTCTATTTGTAATTTGTTAAAACAGAGGGACTGTAGGCTTAAAAAGAAGAGCCATCCTGTTCTAAATAAAAAGATATTGTGTCAAATATAAGTAATTTGTTAAATACTTGGTATTAGTATCGGCAAGTACCTAAACTGAAGTACTCTTACTCGGTCAGAAAAAAACTGGTATTGTGACGCTCCTAGATGATGATGCATATTTTCTGGATGCTTTACCTGGTCTCTGTTGTTAATGTTGGAATAGGGCAGAGCTCCTGACATGAGCTCATAGAGCACAATGCCAAAAGCATACACATCTGACTGGAAGCTGTAGGGATTCTTGTCCTGCAACCTGATCACCTCTGGAGCCTGATAACACCCACAAACACACACAGCATTTCATTCACTTTATTAGGGACTAGGATTGAATTGAATGATAATTATAAGACACTGACCATCCAAAGTATTGAACCAGACAGTTGCTCAAACTGGTGGGAGCCGCTCCAACGAGATTTGACTGTGGCTAGACCAAAGTCACCAATCTTCACAGTCAGATCCTCATGCAGGAAAATATCTTGGAGGACATTAGGTCAAGGAATCCCTTGGACTGCAATGCTTGAAAACTTACATTCTTTGACTGTCTTTCTGTCTGAACACATCCACGTTAAAGCGGATGGAAACAAGGATACTGTTGCTCTTCAGGTCTCTGTGAATAATGGACTTGGCATGTAGGTAACTGAGGGTAGAAAAAAAAGTAATAATACTGCTAAAGAAATGTGACAGTTTTTGTCTGTTTAGGCGTTACTTACTCCATGCCCTGAGCAGTCTGCCGGGCGATGTCGATCAGCTTGATCATCTCAAATTTGGTTTCAATGATGTGCAGATGGTGGTACAGACTGGAGCCTTCACACCACTGGGTCACAATGGCCAGCTGGGGCTTGGTTGTGTAACCCATGAACAGCAGGATATTCACGTGACGCGTTTTTCTGATGGAAACCAATACACTGTGGTTAAACTACAAATCTAGGCTAAACACCCTCACTTTTCTTCCAAAACTGTACTTCCAGTATGACCCCTATGTTGATAATGGAGTCATTATATTTGTGCCAGTGTAGTGAGACAAATGTGAGCGCATATATCCAAGTGAACCAATACTTCAAAATTCTATTTTAAATTCAAATTCCCCAAGTAATTAATAAAGTATTTATTTAGCCTTTAAAACATTTGTACTTAAACTTTAGATTTTCTCTTATTTATTGTGCATGCATGATTGTTTGTCCTGTTTGTCTCTGTGTTGTCCTGTGATGGACAGGCGACCTATCCAGCGTTCCCCTGCCTCTCACCCGTTAACCGTTGGAGATAGGCACCAGCATCCCTCATGACAACATTAAGGATAAGCATGTACGATAATGGATGGATTTAGGGATTTTATCTAGGGGCATTTTTAAGTTTAACCTTCATCTCATTGAAGCACTTTAAACACTTTCAGTAAGTTACCTATCTTGTATTATTATGCTCAAATAACTTCATGCTTTCCAGAGAATGAATGGATCATTTACAAGTAAATATTGCCTTACTGGACAGTGATCTAAAAGCAATGTTCAATTTGATACACTTGAAAATTTTGCGCATTTGTGCTGGTTCACATGAGAGAAAAAAGTTAGGCTTACTAGTGAAAAAGTTAGTCTGTAGCCTTGTTACATATTTAGTACATTTAGTTGTACTACATGTAGTTTGAGAAGAAGTCTCTAAGGTAACAAAATGTAAGAAAAAATGTTAAGGGTTGTGAATACTTTCTGGATGTATTGCTTGTACCACAAGGACTGGATGTCATACACGCATCCCAGAAACTCTAAACACCTAAATCTCTCTCAAGCTTTCTTTGTGGACATCTGCTTTTATCAGGTAAAATTAAGTTATTCAAATGTGTTCTTAAATTGGAAAACCTCTTGGCATCTCAATGGCTCTGCTTTTCTAAGAGCAGATCAAGATGACATTATCCAATCTTTAAAAAGCCTGACTTGCCAATTCCAAATTTGGTTGATACTGGTTGTTTATTGTCTAAAAAGTCGCAAAAGTTGGCAACAGTGAGCTGACTTTTATCAACTTTTATAAGACGTGACCTGGTGGGTGCGTCTGTTAGTCAGCCACCTCTCATGGAGGAGCAAAAAAGGGATTTTCAGACTTTTGTGGAGGTAGATAAGATCTGTGGATGAGATCGGCTTCTTGTGTAAGCATCAGCAGATCACATATCTTCCAAAATTAAGGAAATCAGGGTGGATTTATTGGTGGATGCCTAAAAAAATAGGAAAGTCAGAGTGGGATTTTCCATAATTAATGAACAGACTAACTGGTGTGGTTGAAAATAGTGCAGATAATTTTCTTTTTAAGAGTAACTGTTGATTTTTGTTGAATTTGTATCTGAATGTGATGACAGGTGAAGACAACCTGTCACCAAATATTACTCAAATATTTGATTAATGATGAGAAGCAGAAGTCACCTGAGGACGCCCACTTCATTCTTGAAGGCCTGAAGCTGCTGTGGAGTGGGAGCAGTGACATTCAGCATTTTCACAGCCACATCACCTGGGAGTAAAGGGAAGAGACATCCATCAGAACTAAAGACACTAGTTCCTGTTTAATAAATCAGAAATATAGGTCAATGCAGTTGGAACACTGACCTATATAAAGTGTATACAATTATTTATACACTTTATAAATCAATGGAAAAATCTATTTTCTAATTCCTGATCAGCCTTTTCAATGTTTCCTCTGGTAATTTGTTGATTTATCTTTGGTAATGTGTGCCAAGTCTTTGAGTCTGGAAGGACTCCTTGCCATCACCCTAATCTTTGGCTCCATCCAAATATTCTCTACCAGATTCATGCTTGCACTCTAGCAGAATAAGCAAACAAGATGTTTCAGAATTATTTTCATGAATACAAAGATTAGACAGATGTTCAGAATGTTTCTCCTGCTGGCTGGTGTTTTGTTTGGTGTTTCTTTGCTACAAAAACTAAGGTGTCTATGCAAGAGAATAGAACAGTTCCAGACAGACCATAACCCAACCTTTTTACTTTGGCAGAGTAAAATATTGTCTACTCTGATATTCACTAATGGCTATAGGTTTGTTCTAGCTTGTTACGTGAGGTTTAAAAAGCAAACTACAGCCAGAATCTTACCATGCCATTTTCCTTTAAAAACAGTTCCAAAGGATCCAGAGCCTATCCTCTGACCCAGGGTGATCTGACCTTCTGGAATCTCCCAGTCATCACTGGAGTCTCTTCTGCCCAGTGTTTTCTGTTCCACAGGATACAGGGTTGACAAACAGCACAAAGTACCCTGTTGTGCAACACTGATGGGCTCTCACCATTTTATTACGATCTTCAGAAGACGACGAAGACTTGCGTTCCCTTTGTTGGCATGGTGACTTCTGTGGTGCTTTGACATTGGTCAGTGAGCCAGGAAGAGATGCTGGAGGTGTGGCAGACAGCCCAGTGGTAGAACCTGGAGGAGAACAAGGAAAATGTAAAAAGGGTTGGAAAAAGGAATCAAATCTTCCGCATTTTGGATGAAGGCCTGGACAGAGCTCTGCTTTCAAAGCTTGAGATTTTCAGTCAGATTTTTTTAAAAATAGGCTTAAAAGCTTTTTCTTAATTTGTTGTTATAATCCTTCTATTTGTCAATAACCAAAACCAATACAGAACTTTAATCAATTGAAAGTTTACACAACAACCAAATAAATAAGTGCTTTAGAATTTATCCAGAAAAATGTATTAACTGTGCTAACTGTGCTAAACATTTTCAAAATTAGTAGAAGCACTAAAGAAAAAAATTGATCCACTACAGTGGTGGGAGCAGAAGCAGAAATATGGATAATAACCGAGTACACTGAATAAATTAATCACAGCTAATAGTGTGCATGACATGAAGAAATTGCTTCTGATTAAACACCCTCACAGATTTGGGATTCTTACCTCCATCTGACCTCTGCAAGCCCTGATCACGAATAAGATCCTGAGAAAAGAAAGAGAACTGTAAAAATGTGAAAAGGAGCAAAATATCTACTACTGACAGGGGACAAAGTGACCGTCAAACAATGGACAATTATCAGAGCACTTTTTTATGTCACATCCCATTAAGTGTATGCATAACAGATTTGCTGGGTCAAGAACAAACCAGTCTGCCCACCTAACCAGCCTTCCGTTTGCACAAAAAATTATAGTAAAATTTGATGAAGTATCTTTTAGGGTCACAGGTTTGTTGAATATAATACAGTAATACAGATGTGAGGGTTACATGAAGCACAGAGTGCAAGTGTTGGATGTGTTGAAGACTGAAAACAGAATGTTAATATTTATTTGTATCCAGCCAGAAGTGAGTCAGAGGAAACCAATGAAATGACTCTCCCTGTGAGTCATACAATTTCCCTAAGAGCCAATAAGGTAACTTATTAGAGGCCTATAGACTCAAAATACAACATGGATTAATTTGTACAAACAGCAAAAAATCAGAATCCAGTCTTTAACCCAAAGTGAAAAATACTTTTACCAAATCTGACTTTATATTACAGAAGCGTTTAAGGGCCAGTGCTTGAAAATAAATTCGAGAGCAGTATCTTGTTTAAACATGAACATTTCTAGTTTAACTAAATGTAATATATATATA